AAGACAAGTGTTTTTAATACAAAAAACACCAACCTTCAAATAATCATGTTCAGTTATGCACTCAATACTTGGTCGGGAATCCTTTTGCATGAATGACTGCTTCAATGCGGCGTGGCATGGAGGCAATCAGCCTGTGGCACTGCTGAGGTGTTATGGAGGCCCAGGATGCTTCGATAGCGGCCTTAAGCTCATCCAGAGTGTTGTGTCTTGCGTCTCTCAACTTTCTCTTCACAATATCCCACAGGTTCTCTATGGGGTTCAGGTCAGGAGAGTTGGCAGGCCATATGAGCACAGTAATACCATGGTCAGTAAACCATTTACCAGTGGTTTTGGCACTGTGAGCAGGTGCCAGGTCGTGCTGAAAAATTAAATCTTCATCTCCATAAAGCTTTTCAGCAGATGGAAGCATGAAGTGCTCCAAAATCTCCTGATAGCTAGCTGCATTGACCCTGCCCTTGATAAAACACAGTGGACCAACACCAGCAGATGACATGACACCCCAGACCATCACTGACTGTGGGTGCTTCACACTGGACTTCTGGCATTTTGGCATTTCCTTCTCCCCAGTCTTCCTCCAGACTCTGGCACCTTGATTTCCGAATGACATGCAAAATTTGCTTTCATCCGAAAAAAGTACTTTGGACCACTGAGCAACAGTCCAGTGCTGCTTCTCTGTAGCCCAGGTCAGGCGCTTCTGCCGCTGTTTCTGGTTCAAAAGTGGCTTGACCTGGGGAATGCGGCACCTGTAGCCCATTTCCTGCACACGCCTGTGCACGGTGGCTCTGGATGTTTCTACTCCAGACTCAGTCCACTGCTTCCGCAGGTCCCCCAAGGTCTGGAATCGGCCCTTCTCCACAATCCTCCTCAGGGTCCGGTCACCTCTTCTCGTTGTGCAGCGTTTTCTGCCACACTTTTCCCTTCCCACAGACTTCCCACTGAGGTGCCTTGATACAGCACTCTGGGAACAGCCTATTCGTTCAGCAATTTCTTTCTGTGTCTTACCCTCTTGCTTGAGGGTGTCAATGTAGTGAACTAAGCCTCAGGTCAAAATCTGGCCTTGAGGGCCTTCCTGGAACAAGAACTGTATTTCATTGATTTGAGTCCAGAAACACAAGATTAAGTTCATCCAGAGACTTTCTCTTGTCCTGCACTGATCAATTGAAAGAACACTCTCTTTATTATCATTACTATTTTACAAATTTCTTGATAATCAAAGTGTGTGTAGTTCAAACCATTTTTAAATGTTGAAGTGAACTACTCATTTTAAATCAACTGTGAAACAGTATTGGTGATTTTTAATCCTCATTCAAAGTAGAGATCAAGTTAGAATGTGTTACGGAGTAATTCATGCATTTTCTGATTTTCTGTCTGAAATGAGCAAGTTGTGATGTCGGTCAAATGTCGGAGTCAAACGCAAAACAAGTTGTTGGAACGAACTGTCATGTTTTTATATCCTCTCAGACGTAAATAGAGAGGCTGGCACCTGTTTTCCCCCAACTCGCCTAAACATTTCTCTCGTCTGTCTAAAAACATCTTCAGTCTGTTCCAAAACATTCTTTCAGTTTTTCTGACTTCTAGTGACCTCTTACGTCACAAAAACACACCCTTGTCTGGTCGATTGACCAATCAGGAACTTCCCAGATGAACCGGAAATAGAACTCTTTAAATGTCGGCACTTCCTAGTTCAAGCCAGTCGTGATGGAGAGCTAGTGCAGTCGAGCGCAGTCGAGTTCGGTTCGGAGAGCAAACCGAACAGAGAAGTGCTGGAGAGAACAGGAGTTCCAGACATGATCCGGAGTTCTTCCGAGTCTCGTGGGAATTATGCAATCTTCCACATCTGAGTGGAACTCTGACGGACTCACAACTCACGTGAGCCCAACTGAGAGGTGAACTTGTGTCGAACAAGTACCGTCACTACTTCGGACGATTCACAGCTGTTCCTACGGAGACGCTGAAAGGGTGCGTTAAATGGAACTCCGTACCAGTGGAGACACCTGCTACAGGTAAAGAGTTGATTTACACCACCTAAGTGTACCGAGGAGGAAGCTGGGATCTCAACGGAGCGTGCCGTCCTGATACTGACACATTTCCCTCATCCATCTTTTCCTCTCCATTTAAACTTCATTTCCATCTTTAAACTCTTCTATCCTGCTAGCAAATCATTCCAGATCTTTTTAGAAATGTCTGTTGTGAAGCAACGGAAAACCATGGCCGTATGGTTTTCCTGACTGTAAAGCTAATTAATTAAGCTGTTGTTATTTTCAATTTTGCCAAATTAATGTAAATGTTTGATGTTAAACTTTGATTCTGTTAATAAATGACGCATTCATTTGATGGGTCAAAGAAAATTAACACCTCACGTTACATTTAATTAATTTCAACGCACGATATTATTCAGTCCAGAAAAATGAATGAATCCGTTTAATTTATGAATATATCACAGTATATGTTCATCTACATCAATGATGGCCTTCTGGACAGCAGTCAGGTCGGCAGTCTTACCCATGATTGCGGTTTTGAGTAATGAACAAGGCTGGGAGTTTTTAAAAGCCTCAGGAA